CAGGAACCCACAGAACATGGACATAACTTTTAGGACAAAAGATCCATTTTGAACCATTATTGCTTTATGACACTACTTAGCAAAAGGAAAAGTATTTTTATCTCTCAAATTTACTATTTTTTTTTAAATTTCCACAGTTCCTGTCAAGTCTGACATGGGTTCATATTCCTGCTCTGCTATACTTCCTGGTTGAGAAGATGTTTAACCTTTCTGAGTTTTAGTTTTGTCACCTATAAGTAGAATGGAGATGGTAACCTACTGATTCATAAGATCATGTGAATTAAATCAAGTGATGACATAAGAAGGTTTAGGTCTATCACCGTCTCTGAAATAAAATTTTGTAATTAACACCAATTTCTATCATTCTGGATAGAGTAAAACAATTTCTACTTGTAGAAAAGAATTTTCTTATAAAGAGAAGTCAGACTGTTCCTCTGACATGTGTTTATTATTTCAGACTAAATTATTTGGGCTCCACCACATAGTGTTAAGTTCTAGTAAACCTTAGGGGAAGGCATTTAATTATTATTACTTTGGATACATAAATTTAGATATACAAATGAACCCTTCTGGGCAAAAGCAGGTGGTCATTCAAGGTCATTCAGAATTTTTAGAACATCCTTAATTTGAGATGGAAAATACCCTGAAGGCCATTAATATAATGCCACATATTTTACAACAAAAAGATAGAAGAGTCCTAAAGAAGTTAAATGGATTTGCTCAAGCAATATAAGATACCAATACTTAGGGCTTTCAACTTATTTTTCTAGTTATGCTTTACAGTATAGATACTGCTCTACCTTTAAAAATTTTTGACTGTGTTTCATTTTGGTTTAGTGATTCTTCCACATTCAACAGATCTGAAGTCATGTACCCATTCTAGAAGCTATAATTTCAAAAAACTTAAAAAAAAAAGCAGGTGTTAGTCCAAATACCTATTCGAATAAATTTTAGAAGAACACCATTTTCACACTAACGTAAAGGTCAAAAATATTTTATTACCTTGAGAGTCAGTGGATTTTATACAACAGAACAGTATTAGTTTTACTGCATACATACCCCCTTCTTAAAACCTCATAACTCCTTATTATACAGGACAAAATTAGAAAAAGAAAAAATTCACCATTCTGAATTAAAATATGGCCAGAAATTTAATAAATCTTAAAAATTTGACAGTACTCTCACCTACTAAGAATCTGGAAAAAAAGGTCTAAAAGCAACCATTAAAAAGTTTGTCAAAACCCATGAATCACTGAAGACAGAGTCACCCTCAAGAAGGTCAAGAAGGACCTACTAACTGAAGTACTAACCTAGTTTTTAGTACTGCCCTAAGTTTCAGAGCAAGGGAACAAGATAGAAGATGTTAATATATAATGATTAAAAGTGAGGAACAAGGAGGGAGAGAAAAAGAGATAATGGAGTAGGAAGGCGAGGCAGATACCTCCTCCCCACACACACAGCAAGGAAGCAACTACAGCAAATACAACTAACCCTGAAAATGACTGGAGACTGCAGAAGGAGAGGATACCACACAAAGAAGGGTAAAGCAGTACAGCTGTGATCGGGCGGGACCCAAGCCCTTGCCCCATCCCAGCCCACACGCGGGAGGAAGTGGAACAGACTGGGGATGGGGCAGGCGCCCAGGAACTCTGCACACCTGGCCCTGGAGATCTGCTCTGAGACAGAAGTCCACATTGAACTGGGCTTTGGTGATTAACAGGGATGGACACCAGGGAAAGGGGAGCACTCTGAAAGGCTGAGAATCCTTTTGCTTGTGGAGGATAGGCATCCTCCAGAGGTCCCTCTGAGACCCAACACAGAGGCTACAGTTTGAAAGATTTACCAGCAGCAGGAAAGGTGCCAAAGGGGCGGGGGTTAGATGGAGCTCCTTCTGCAGGGTAAAGGGTTGGCAGATGACACTTCCCCAGCCCTCCCTCAGCCCAACTGGTCAGGCACTCATGGGAGCCAGCCCCAAATGATCACCCTGTGCACCCGCCTACCCACTCAGCCCAGCAGAAGACTTTGCTGCCTGGCAGGTGGAGGGAGCTTTCCCAGCCCTCTCTCAGCCCAATGGGGGAGGCGCCTGCAGGAGCCAGCCCCAACTGCTCCTTCCTCCTTGTTAGCAGCCCAGCCCTGAGCATCACTCCCCTGAGCTCCCACTCTGCCCACCCTGGCGGCCCACATAAAAGTCTTAGAAGAAAACAGAGGCAAAAAAATCTCTTTAACATAATAAGCATGAACAATTTTTTTCTGGACACATCTCTCCAGGCAAAGGAAACAAAATAAAAAATGAACAAGTGTGAGTATATCAAACTAAAAAGCTTCTGCACAGCAAAGGACACCATCAACAGAAAAGGCATCCTACGGTATGGGAGGACATATTCGTAAGTTATTTATCCAATAAGGGGTTAACACCCAAAATAGATAAAGAACTCATACACCTCAACACCAAAAAAACAAATACCTGATTAAAAAGTGGGCAGAGGACCTGAACAGAAATTACTCCAAAGAAGAAATTCAGATGGCCAACAGGCACATGAAAAGATGGTCCACATCACTAATCATCAGAGAAATGCAAATCAAAATCACAATGAGCTATCACCTCACACCAGTCAGAATGGGCACTATCCAAATACAAAAAGTAACAAGTGTTGACAAGGATGTGGAGAGAAGGGAACCCTCCTACACTGTTAGTTGGAATGTAAACTGGCGCAGCCACTGTGGAAAGCAATATGGAAGTTTCTCAAAAAACTAAAAACAGAAATATCACTGGATCCAGTAATTCCACTTTTAGGAATTTACCCAAAGAAAACAAAATCCCTGATTCAAAAAGGATATATGCACCCCTATGTTTATTGCCACATTATTTACAATATAATAGCTAAGATATGGAAGCAACCTAAGTGTCCATCAATAGATGAATGGATAAAGAAGATGTGGTATATACAAACAATGGAATATTATTCCGCCACAAACAAGAAAGAAATCCTGCTATTTGCAACAACATATATAGACCTAGAGGGTATTATACTAAGTGAAATAAACCAGGCAGAGAAAGACAAATACTACATGACTTCACTTATATGTGGAATATAAATATAAAAACAAAACAAAATGAACAAATAGCAGTAGACTCATAAGACACTGAGAAGTGACTATGATTACCATGGAGGAGGGGTTCAGGTAGGTGAGTGGGGAGAGGAAGGGGGATAAAGGGCACAAAAATTCTCAATCATAATATAAGTTGGTCATGGGGGTGGTAGTATGGCATGGAGAATATAGTCAATGATTCTGTAACATCTTTCTATGTTGACAAATAGTAACTGCTCTAGTTGGGGGAATGATTTAATGATGTGGGTAACTGCCAAACCACTGTGTTGTATACTTGAAACCAATATAAGATTGTATTATCAACTATACTTCAATAAAAAATACGTAAATAAAATAAATGTGGAAATGCTAAAACTAATGAAAGGAATCTAGAAGTAGAGGCTAAAAATCATAGAAGCTAAAGGTAAGGACACCACAGCAGAATAAACTGATGCTCAAAATATTCTAAATAATTTGTAAATATTTGTTTCTTATCATAGGATTTGTTAGTACCATTAAAGAAACAACCAGAATTAGAACAGAAAGCTGTTTTCCTCCTTTTCATAAGTCTATATTCCTAGCACTATTTTGTTCTGAGAAACAGTCTCCACAACACCCCAATGAGGTAAAGCAACACGTGATACTTTGAAAATAAATACTCCATTGTATTTCAACATAATCCACTGAAAATAAATAAATAAATCCTGAATTAGGCACATGTTTCCAATAAATATAAACTCAAAGGTAAGGTAATTCACTTAGGAAGGCATAAGAAAAAAATGTAATGAGAACATTTTGATCACTACCCAATGTTAGTGAGTCATTTGGCTAAAAATTCAAATCTGTTCAAATAACCCAACATTCAAAAATAAGATAAATAGTTTTTATATCTGCTTAACATTAAGTGGTCATGGTAGTATTACATGAAAGAATGGAGGAAAGCTGAGAGTTTGAGGTGATCCTGCAGGGTATGGCTTTCTTATAACTACCAATCACTTCTAGATCATCTGGTTTGGTGTTGCTATAATGACTTTATGAGACACAAACTATCCTCCACTGACAACTACCATAATTCAGAGAAGCACATTATGTATGAAAGAATGTACTAAAAATATTTGTTTCAAGTAAAATCACATACATTAATTAATTTGATATTATTAAAGTACATCATATATTTTCAGCCTTAATTTAGTAAGTTAAATTACTGGCCACCGGAGGAAATTATTTGTATCACCACTCCTTCTAAAATTATCCCTCATGTCAGTCCTGAATGTTAATCCACGATGTAAGTGCAGAGACTTTTTAAACATTATGTCTTCCTTTACTGAGAGACTGAAACAGTTAAGTCTCTGTATATAATGCTTACTATGATTATTTATGGAAAGCAAGTTAGGATATATTAAAAACTTAATAGAGATTTCCTTTATTTCAAGATAATGAAAAAGAACCCTTGTCTGAAATACACAAGTATTTTAACAGCAAAGTATCATAACATCTGCAAGTTACTTTCAAATGGGATTAGGCAAAAGAAAAAGTAAAAAAAAAAAATGTGTATGTGTACATATACACAAAGAAAATCTGTGCAAATATGAGACAGAAATCAAATGTGGCAAAATGTCATCAGTGCTGGCTCTGGAGGGTAGGGTATTCGGAGTATTTTTTCAACTGTTCTGTGAAAACTTTCAAAACAAAAAGCTGGGAGAACAATGGACCCTCAACTGACTCCTAGTTCTCTTTGTGTTTTAGTTATTACCCTGAATACATGTCTAGTTTCTTCTATTTTTATCTTAAGAACCTTCTGTCCCATTTAAGACAATGCCATAGACTGTGTTTAACCAAAACTGTAACTTGAGGAAAAAGTTTTTAAAAGTAGGTTTAAAGGCTGGTATCAGTGAATTTATTTGTTTTACCTGAAAGTTAACATCTTCTTTCTTAAATATTAGTGCTCGAACTTCATCAGGATCTCCATTAAATATAGCTTGCACCAGTGATGGCTAAAATACAAGAGAGTAATAAAAACATTAATTACAACACATGGATGACTCTAAAGATATTTCCACATACCTTTTCAGTCTAAAACTTTTCTTCCTTATAGTAACAACAGTCATTTGGTTTTTGACATTACCAAAAGTTTCATGAAGTCTAATTGTATGAAAGTACAGATACCTTTTCAGAAAAAAAGGAGGCCTAATTTAAAAAAAGATCAATTTATTATGACCAAAATTAGGTAGTATAATAAATGTAATCAGCCTTTTGTTCACATTATGTGGTAAAAATAAAGTCTCTTCCAAACACCAGCGTGAGATTTCAACACTTACTTGTGGGACACAACCTGTCAAACAAACTGTTTCCAGCCTACCCTGAGGCCCATGAAGGAAAGCATGTTTGAGAAGTTCTCTTTGGGGCACTAGAATAACTTGCGTGGATTAGCATTACATGCACGAAGATAAAAACCCAAAGAAACAAAATCTGGCAAAGGAAAATCACTACTATTCAAAGACCAAAAAATATTGTATACCTGAATAACATGGAGAAGCCAATGCGTGCATGTCTAAATATAACAATTTCTTAATCAACAATGCAGCCTCTCTGATAAGATATCATATTATACTAGTCAAACAAGAAGCCAATTGACAACAGCATTAAAAGTAAGGGTAAGGATGAAGTCTGATTCTTTTTCATATAAAAGTCTTATACATAAATACATAAAATTCACTACAGAAAAGGCTGTGCCTCACTACTGCTGGCAATAGTCAACCTTTCCTAAAACAGAGTTCCTCATTCTTGTTACATCAGTTTTTAAAACCACAAAATGAAAACAGAAACGTGGTTGTCATAACTACAATTCTCAAATTATTTTTTTAAAGTCCTCAGAGATAGTAAATAAAGTCTGAAATGTTATATAAATATCTGAAAAAGTAAAAATCAGAAATGTGTGCATTTTATATACAAGTAATATTTTATATTTATATATTTACATCATTGAATTCAGGTTTTTAATGAAACCAGTGGAAACTAACTTACGTTTACTCCTTAAAAATAGAACATGTCCTACTAGTTCATAGAATATGGTAAAACATATAAACTCTCATATCTTACCAATACATTTCCAGAAGGTAGAGAATGTAGAGATTTATTTTCCTGTGGCAATTTAGAAATGAATGCAGGAGATTCATCTTCTACCTCCTCCAAAACAACAATACACACTCGACTCATTCGCTCTTTTATAATACCAAATTCCAAGCTATGTGATAAAAGTCACAGTCGGAAGAGCATAAGTAGTTCCTCCTCTTCTGTACAACACTTAGAATCATCCTCTGAACAGCACAGCTGATTGTTTCAGGTTAGTAAGTACTATCAGAAAAGCTAAGTTCAAAATTATGACTATATAACTTATAACTTCCTAAAACGACAGAATTCTGTTATTTTCTGTTGGGTTACTGCAGTACTTAAATTTCACATCAACATGTCACTAACTAAAATGAGTCCAGAACAAGCTCATTTAAAAATATTTTAGCCCTACCAAAATAATCATATTGCTCTGTCTCACAGAAATTTACTTGCATGAAAAGATCATTGTTTTGGGGGACGCCACCACACAATACAGAATCAAATGAGAAACAACTGCTGTGACAGAGAAGATCACAGCTATCCCCACTCTTGCCTACAAGGTCACATAGTTACCAGGAGCTGGCTTGCTTACAATTGAAAATTAAAAATAAAATCTAACTGTTACTGTTCACTTCTAATTTGTCTTCATTTCTTCAGCTTCACTAGTTTAATGCAGATACTATTCCCGCCCCCCACCCAAAAAAATACATCTAGAGCTCAGCATAAATTCTTAAAATGAAGCTCAGAGGTTGACAATTCTTTCTGTGTTAGGGAAAGAAAAAAAAACCACTCTGCATTAATAGCAAAGCTGCGGTCCATTTACATGCGATGAGTCAGACCACAAGAGACAATGGGACTCTTGGTACTAGAATACAGCTTGATTAATCCAGATACCCCATGTAACAGAAGAAACACAGAGCCTTATTCTCATCGATAGCATAAGCAAGGCAAAATGTTCATTCCTTCTCCATCAGGCAGTTGTCTGTGGCTGCTCCAGCAAAGGGCACAGGCAGCAGGCAGAAATAGTGTTAGCAGAGAATCCTAATAGCACAGGCAGGCTGCGAAGGAATTAGAAGGCATCTGAGCTCAAATTACTGCTTCAGGCTTTTCTTTTTAGAAAAAAAGAGAGAAAAAAAAAGACAGTATTTTATCATTCCAGTGTTTCCTTTGACCTCCACATGAATACAGCTTCCATTAAATAGTCTTCATTCAGAGGAAAGAACAGCAGACTGTGCATCTTCTGTGAGCCAACTACTTTATTCAATCATCTGCCTCTGTGCCAATAGTTTCCTTCCACTGTGAAAACGGCTAGTTATCCTTTTCAGTAGATTTCAGATGTTTTCCTGTTCCTTAGATGATCTTGCAAAATGCCACTGATACCTCCAAACGAGTAGGTCCTTAAAAAATATCTATAGAAGCTCAGGATCGGCCCCTCAGAAGCATTCCAACTGAGCAACAGTCTGAATAGCAAAGACTGCAGAACCGCAGGATGAAATGCCTAGTAATGCTCACATGTTACACTTACCAGAGATCTGAGCTACTGCTCAGGATGTAACTTCCTCTAGTAAGAGAAAAAAAAAACAATGCGTTTGGACAGCCTTCACATTTAGAAGGTTCATGCCAGTTCTGTGACTAATCTAGATCAAACTAAAAAATTCTGTAACTGAAAAATGAGTGCACTTTTAACATTTTCCACTAAAAGCCACAAGGAAATCTGGTGTACTGCCTCTGCTGACTAACGCTGGTTTTAGCAAGTAAACAATTCCAAACAGCTTAACTGCTTTCGTATGTTACAATATTGTGAATATTTAACCCTATAATGACAGCTGCAATAAGAATGTCTGCAGTAAAGCCATACAAGAGAATTAGAGATGAAGGAGAAATACTTTTTGAGAATATAAAAGCCATAACCCTATGATTTCATTCATATTTTTTACCAAGGCCATTTTTAATCTATCACATTTGTTATTTTCAAAAATGCAAAAAAGTTTAAACAAAAGAAATGTAAGACTTACTAACAATTTCTAAGTTGTTCAATTTAATCATTCAAGTCATATTTTTAAAGGGAAAAACTAAAAAATTTCATAATGTAGAAATCCTAACTCTAAAATTCTGTGGATCATTTGAATTTTCACTGAGGAAGTGAAATAATTCTACTTTCCCATCTGGAAATGGGATAAAGCCTTAAATTCTATTAAACAGCTACATAAAACTATTTGTTTAAGGTCCTTGGTACTGAATTCTCTGTATATCAAAAATGCACAGGGTTACACTAAAAAAGCAAGAACTCTTCCTCCCCTATAAATTCACTTTCCAAAAGCTACAAGTATCAGAAACTATCAATTTACAGTTGACTCCCCCCTGTATTCACTCAACAATGGGAATATTTCCCAATAGAAAAATTACAAAGAAAATATCATGGTTTCTCTTCAATCTTTGTTGTTCTATCAACTAGCATTTTTGATACACTAATACCTATTTTTACACTAGATTTTGCACATTCTCAGTTAATACTCACAAATAACCTTGCTATATTCCCATATTATCAGAGAAAAAAACAAACACAGAAATTAAGTATTTAACCAATGTTATGCAAATCATAAAAGTTGTGTCTGATTTCAAACATAAACTTTCTCATCTATGCTGCCTGAGTGTACTTGAGCACACATGCACATGCTCTTCCCTTGCTCGTGCTCTCTAGCTCTTTGCAACCTGTAATACTAGACTATCAAAGTGACCTTAAAAGAAATGTAACCTGTAACAGTTGTGAAAAGTTAGGTAAGGAAGGCATATACTACTTATTGCCACAATTTCCCCAAACAAGTTATTTTTAAATGGGTATTTCAGGGCTAGTGTTACCTCACACGTTTAAATCAGTTTACTTATCAAAACAAAAGAAGACAAAAAAAACTTAGCATGATATAGAATATACATCAATTTAAAAACAAAAATAATTAAATATCAATCTATGGAAAAAGACCTAACACAACTGTACCAAGATACTAAAATACACTAACATTACACAAAGTTGTATTTTAAAATATATAAAATGGTTTTAAGCCAAATGAAAGACATGCAAATACTCTGACATACAAAAATGTTAACTATATCCACGTGGCGAAATAAAAAGTATTATCTTAATAGCTGAAATATTTGAAAATGAAACCACTATGGTAATGATATCCTATATTGTTTTCAGGGTTTCCTCCCTACCCCAAGATGAAATCTCTTAATATAAAAATTTTTTACCTGTTTCAAAGTATGTAGTATGTAAATTCACCTACTAAGACTTAAGCAGGTACATCTTGTTTCAGTGTTCTAGATCAACTTCCATACTTAGATCTTTCCCAGCCAGAAAACAAGCTCCTTGGAGGCAGGGACTGTATTATATAGATATTGCTTCATTCTACTTTCTTCCACCTATAATAATTTCATTGAAATGAATTCTGTTATATCACAAGCCTCTGGAAAAAAGTGGTAAAATTAAAAGACAATGGGGGTAGATTCATATACACATATATAGTACATATATATATAATACATATATATGTATGCATTATATATGTGTATATACATGTATATACACACATACACACTTTAACCAGAAAACATAGGAGGCACTAAGGTGCAATAAAGTGAGTTTTGTACCTCTAGTAAGTTAAGCACCTTAAATGTATAAGTTGACAGGATGTAAAACAATGATACAAGATGACAGCTAAAACTAAGAAAACAGCTCAGCAGTTAGCCTACCTGGAGTTCAAACTCTGATTTGATTATTTATTAGCTGATTCCTTGGACGACCTACTTATATTCCCTGAGACTAAATCTCTTCACACTTAAAAAAAATAAAAATAATCTCCAAAGATGTTTATCTAAGAGAAACACTGTAATAGCACAGTGATTGAGAATGCAGACTTTGTAGACAAACTGCTTGTATTTGAATCTAGTTTCCCACTAAAACCTAACCCTGTGACCTTGAACAAGTTACTTAACCTCTCCGTTTCAACACCTGTTAAAGGACATTAAAGGAATCTACAGTGTCATTCATAGTGAAGTTTAAAATAAAATTAAAATTTAAGATTATTATGGATATTTAGGGTAGTTGAATGATAACCCTTGTGAAGCCAGTGAATAAATAAAGGGATTTTGACAACCTCATTGGTGAGGTGATTCTGACTGGTGCCTGGAGAGTTCATTCAGTCACAGTCTCCCCTGCTCACTTTTCAGGCCTCTTGAGGAACTGACAGAAGCTGGTCTTACATTCCAGGAACTAGACAAGAGTTAACAAGTGTTTTTTGCGGGTGGGAAGGGGGAACAGTAACTTAGCAAGAAGCAGCACTACAGGTTTTTCCATTCTTCACATTCACTGTATTTTATAGTCAAGGGCAAGGAAAATGGTGAAAAGTACGAGTCCATGATATAGTATAAAATCGGATACATGAAAAATACTGAGGTCAATATTTCAATATTTTGTATTTAAGTTAATAGCACCATATAGCACTGTTTTATACATTCTATTGAATAAAACAGGCCCCTAACCTCAAAGAACTCATGTCTTAAAGGAAAAGGTAACTGTAAATAAATATTTAAGAAATTAGGAATGGAGGAAGTACTTATGATGAAAAATTATTAACAAAGATTGTGAAAACTTATGTTCAACAATTTTTTTCCAGTTGAACAAGTGGCAAGGTGATGTGTTTTTTTTTTTTCTTGAGGCATTTACTTTTTTTTGAGGACAAATTAGATTAAATTTTTAAATAAGCTAACAATTTCAGCCATGACAAACTTCATAATCCTTCCATTCTTTATGCTAAATGTATCTTCTCAAAAACTTACTCTTACTCTTCAGAGAATCACAAAATGGTAAAACTGGTTTAAACCTTGATTTTACTGATAAAAAATTTAATGTCCTTTTTATTTTTAGGTTTCTAATTTTGTTACACCAGAATTTCTTTTTCCGACACAAAATGATTTTTCCTTTCTGCATAGAGATTCAACCCAAAGCTTATCTCTTACAAGTCTGTGAACTCCATATTGATTATCATACAGTAAAGTATTTCACTCAGGGTATATTATGTGGCTACTCTGTGCCAAGCTAATCCCTGAATAGTAAAAAATTAAAAGCTTGTGGTATAAAAGATGGTAAGGAAGTGGGTTCAAAACATGTTTCAGAAATATTTCTCATAGTTTAGAAGATTACTCAAAATCTTCTTGAGCTATGCCTCATCTGTCCATATGCTTAGAAAAAGTCTTATGAACAGATTTAAAGGCAAATGCAGTGGAAGGAAGGGATAAAAAACCCAACAAACCAAGAAATAGCTGCTCTCTAGGCTACTGGTCAGATTTTCTTTTCATCAGTGTAGCCACTGCAAAAACATCATTCTATATTTTAAAAATGCTGACTTCAAAATCAGAATCCTTATAACCAGATTAATTCTCTGTATGTAATATATTTATGAAAGAGGCCATTTAAGAAATATTTACCATATCATAGTTCCAAAAAATGGCTGATGACCCATGGTATCTGAGGATCTCAAGTGGGTTGATCCAACTGGCATATTACATTGGTAATAAGTAATAAATTGCATACTGTACTTTATAGTTTAAATTTGCTGAGAGTAGCTCTTAACTTACCACAAGAAAAGGTAACTGTGAGGTCATGGATGTGTTAATTATAATACTTTAAGCTTGAATGTAGTAAACATTTCACAGTGTATATGTATATAAAACCATCACATTGTACACCTTAAACATATACAATTTTTACTTGTCAATTATACCTTAGCAAGCTGGAGGGGAAGAGCCCTTATGCAGCCTAAATAAGATAGTACATCATACATAAGAAACACTAACCAGTACAAGGCATGAATACAAAAGACAGTAAAAGGCAGTACAGAAGACCTAAGTTAAGAGAACTGACTAGACCTGTCACTAATTCAGTCACTGGTAGGAGGTATAGCATATGAATTTATTAATTGTAATTGGTATATAAAGATAACTTCTAATTATCCACTCTCTAAAAAAATAAATGGCATTTATAAAGCTATTTATAAACTTGATTGCTGCTACTTTTTCCTGTTTTATTAGAAGGGTGCTTTCTCAAAGAAAATGATGGTGTACTAGTGAGAACATATAGTATCAAAACTTATTTTGAGGATCACATTTTTGCCTGTATTGTAATCCAGTTTAGAATAGGAGAAATATAAACTGCCTGTATTCTTATCCAGTTTCCCACTAAAAAACTTTACCCTGTGACCTTGAAAAAGGGTACTTCTTGCCCTTTTTTCTTTCCCTGGACTGTAAAATACAGTGAATGTGGAAGAATGGAAAAACCTGTGGTCCTGGTTCTCACCTAAGTTTACTGCTCTCCCTCAACACTTAGTAAATTGTCTGGTTACTGGAATGTAAGCCCAGCTTCCTATTAGTTCCTCAAGAGGCCTGAAAAGTGGGGAGGACTTTGCAACTGAATGAAATTCTCCAGGCACCAGTCTGA